AGGAGCCCAATATACGACAAACACACAACAGGCACTTCGGAGATTCGCGTGCCAGTAACACGCGCTCTATGGGATAGCACAGACCTTGGATCTGCAACCAATTACAAGCCTTGTTGGCTAAGTGGTATAGCGTCTCACTAGTACCTAGTGACATGAGAAGATCGGCGGTTCGATTCCGCCACGAGGCAACTCTTTTGGCATATCTCACGATTTTTGCTTCGTCGACGACGGCAACACATAGATTGGTGGATTTAATTAATCACTTCTAGATAGGTCCCCGAGGTTTGGTGCGGCCAATGGGAGCGAAAGAGCACAGAGACCCATGTGTAGGTATCTGATGAACCGATGAAAACTCCGATATCGATGACATCTATCCTGCTCACCGTGGTTTGGAATGTGAGAAGGATAAATGCCATTACTATCGCTATCTAATACATCACTACACAAGGCAAGTCCAGCTCACAGTCTCATAGTTGCCTTCGAATCCCCTCGAGCATACAGAGAAGATGACGACTTTCAAGCCGCCACGGCCTCACCTCCCTCCGTCTCATCCTCAATCTTCGTCTTGATCAACTCATACAAAATATCCGTCCTCATCGTATACTTGGTCCCCTTGACAACATCGTCGCCAGAGTGATAAAGCCGGCTATGCTGAAAGATGAGCACCCGCCCCGCCTTAGGATCAACATCAACCTTCCTCTTCTCATCCCCCGACAAGAACGATGTCGCGCCACCAACCAAGTCGGCACCGCTATCCTTACCCGCCTCAGCGACAGAGTCATTGAGGTAAAGATGAACGGTATAATGCGTCCGGAACACAGCCCCATCCTCCGCTTCTTCGCCATACGGTCCATCGCAATGCGCTATATCAATGTCAACAGTCCATCATAACAGGGACTAAAGGGGCAAGGAACTGCGATGAACTCACGTCTAAAAAACTGCCCCTTCTGATACTTCAAGAACCTCATCCGCTTGTTAAACCTCTTAAACGCCCACCTCGTCTCAAACCCCTTCTCCGGCCTCCTCACCCCCTCCATCCCAGCCAGCTGCGCTTCCAACCCCGGCGCAAGCCTACACCGGCCCCACAACCGATCGACAACTTCCTGCTGGTCCCAGATAATTCGATCGCTATTCCGGTACTCGGGCTCCAGAATCTCCCACCCGGGACCCATATTAACCATCGCCGGGCGCCACGGCTCGTCCTTGTCCGGGTCCGGACCGCGGTCTGTGGCGGAGGCCTCGGCCATGCGGAGGAGCTGGGCACATTCGTCCGGGGTGAGGACGTTGTCTAGGACGACGGCATACAAGGGCCCGTTTTCGGGGAGGGCGGTCTTGGACCAGTCTAGTTTTTGGAGGGTTACGGCGGGGGCGGAGGCCGGGAGGGGAACGGAGAGGAAGTCGTGCGGGATGGGGACTTCGTTGGACGTGTAGGATGTTTTTTGGGGTTTAGGAGCGGCGCGTTTGGCGGGTTTGGGCTTGAGGGCCGCGGGGATGAGGTCTGAGATTGGCATTGTGTCGGATTTCTTTTTCGTGGTAGGTGGAAATGTGTTTTTTTTTTTTTTTTTTTGCCAGTAGACCTTTGTAACGCTTTAGGTCGTGTGGTTGTGGTGTTTGATATCGGTGGGTGTTGATGCCTTGTGGTTGTTGTGGTGATTTGTTGTTGTTGGTGCTGTTTGTCGAACGACAATGGCTGCTTGATGCAGGGTCGGCCAACTTCTTGAAGACTGGGGAGGCAATAAAAGACACAGGGACCACCTCTTTCTTCTAAAAGACACTTCAACAGATATTTACAAAAGGACAGAAATGCGACTGCCTAGCAAAGTCGTCAAGGCGCAAGCGTCAGGCTTCGCCTCATAAGTTGGTGACTAACAATGCGGCGGAGTACGGATTGGCCTCAAGTGGACAGACTTAGGGTATGTAAGCACTTGTTCCCGTCATTCCAAAACACACCAGGCTGCTTTGTTTCGGAAAATACGGCCTACAACAGACGTGTCTTCAATCTTCAACAATATTTCCTAGAAAAAAAATGCCTCGACATCTGCCTTGTAGACTCACGAATTGAGACGAAGACTGTTCAAGCGTGGATGCCTGCGATCGGATGTGAGTGCCTAGTGCGGGGTCAATCTCGCAAAGCTGATTGGCTCTGTGCGATGTCTCCTGTGCTGTGTACCTTGCTGCCTTGAAGTCTTGAAGCCCCCCGATACTCACTTGACCTGTAAAAGTTATAGTCTGCATGAATATTCTTCTTGGAATTTGATATCCTTTCTTTGTCGCTGTGCATTTTCCTTTCCGTCTTGGCTAGTAATGTCTGCTGTTGATGGTGCAGGCTACATAAACTGTGAGCTGTGGTGGGGTGCCTAATTGTGGCTGAACCAGAGGAGAAGTGAAGGATTCTCGCAGATGGGCATTACCTATCGAGGACGAGTATTTCTCGTAAGCGTCTTCTCGAAAAAATCACATGAATGGGAGAATTGATTACAAGAGACAAACAGAACAATTTGTGAAAGCTACGATAGATGTGTTCTTGTGTGAGGTACCGTTGACTCATCTCAAGGTGAGGTGCCTTGGGTATGCCAAAATGTCCCCCTAGCCATCACTGCTTGACTTACCTCCTCGAGACCTGCCATGCCCTTTGCCCGTACCATGAGAACAGACCACGCTTTACATTACTTATTCTCTCTGAGTTTGATACGTTGTTAACAAGAATCAAGGGGGAACTTGCCTGATGATTTGAAGTGAGATATTTCCAGTACTATGAGAAGTTACCCCATTTCATATCGGTTATTCTCTCTCTGAGGGCGATGAAATAATAATTAACATTGCCTGGAAACTTCTATGATCAAAGAAAGGAAGTATGGCGAGACCCTGAGGTTATATTACTAGTAGGACTGGATGAGGAATGATCATGGAATTCGCTTTCAAGATAAAGTTTCTCTTACACTCTACTTATACACAAACAGAGTTCGAAAAAGCGTATGTTTTCAATATTCATCCATCCTGATATCAGCAACTCATTTCCAAGCTCAGCACTATCAGACCGGCTCTTCCCGTTCCTTCGTCCTCCCTCCACCTTTACTCTCTTCAACCTCGACCCCTTCATCCAACCCAGTCTTCGTCTCAGTATGCATCTCACTCAACTCAACCTGCCTTATGAAAAACGTAGCAATAAACCCGACACCAGACATGACGCAAAAGAAGATCCAAATCTTACTCAACCCATCCGTCACCGCAAGCCTCACAACCCGCCTCTGCCCCTCACTTAAACCCTCCATCACACCGCGCGCCGCCGTCGCAATCGTCCCTCCCCTCCCAAACTTGGCAGCAACCTCGGCCGGCACGCCCGCCGCCAACAACCGGCCCTCATGCCGTCCCACGACGCTCTGGAATATGACCTGCCCGACGACCACCCCGATCCCCAGCGCAATATGCCTCACAAACGCAAACGTCGCCGTCCCCGTCGCCACATCCGTCTGCCTCACCAGCGCCTGCAATGCAATAAGCAACGCTTGCAAATTCGGGGAGATGCCCAGCGCCGCGAGCACCTGGAACAGGATCAACCGCGGCCAGTCCCGTCCCGCGGGCAACGTCACAAACAACCCAAACGCGATCGCCGTGAGCGCCATCGACACCCGCACAATCTCAACGTACCGCCCCGTCTTCTTGATCGTCACCCCGACGCCGATAGTGCCGACCGCCAACGGCAGCGCCGTGGCGAGAAGCCACACGCCAGACTGGATCGGGCTGGCGCCCAGCACTGCCTGGAAGTAGAGCGGTAAGAAAAACGCAATCGCCGCGAACCCGAGCCCGTGGCAGAAGTTGGCCACGTAGCAGAAGACGACCGACGCGTCGCGGAACAGCGAGGCCGGCATGAGCGGGTACTTTGCGAAACGCTCGACGAAAGCAAAGACGGCGTAGGTCGCGCAGCCGAAGACGATGAGACATATGACAGTGGGCGAGTCCCATGGGTTCCGCAGCCCGCCAAACTGCAGCCCGAGGAGGAGCATCAACGTCGCTCCGGTGAAGGTGAGTGTGCCTAGCCAGTCAATGGCCGCCAGGCCCTTGAGAAGCGGCGTCTTGGGCGTGTGTATGCGCAAAAAGAGGACGAGGATGAGCAGCGACGCGCCAGAGATGGGCAGGTTAATCCAAAAGCACCAACGCCACGAAACATTCTCCGTCAGCCCGCCGCCGATGAGCGGTCCGATCCCGCTGGCGAGACCCCAAACTGCACCGACGGCGCCGAAATACGCGCCCCTCTCCCGCGGGCTGAAGAGGTCCCCGACGGTGATGTTGACCAGCGCCATCAGCCCGCCGCCCCCGAGCCCCTGGACCGCTCTGCCCGCGACAAGCATCGTCAACGTGCCGGAGAGCGCCGAGACGAGGCTGCCGACCATGAAGACGACGTTGGCGATGACGAGGATCGGTTTGCGTCCGAAGATGTCGCTAACTTTGCCCCAGAAGGGGACTGAGGCGGCGTTGGCGAGCAGATAGCTCGCGCCGATCCAGGCGAATCCCGAGTCTGAGGACCCAATCTCCCGCGCGATCGTTGGTAGTGCGGTGGTGATGATGACGGCGTCGAGGGCCGCGAGGAAGACGGCCATGCAGAGCGCGAACATCAGGATGGCGGTCTGGGCCCGGGTGCGGTCCGGGGCGATCTTTGTGTCTGCCGTCGTGACGCTCCCTTCCCCTTGGTCATCGTCGGCGCTCCTTCTTTTCTCCCGTACGCCTCCTCCTGCTTTACCATCTTGATCGCCGTCGTCGCGCGGACTCCTGTCGTGAGAAGATCTTCCTACTTCACTCGCCATCGTGAACAGCGAGATACCTTGTTTGGTCGGGTACACGACATGCTGCCCTCAGCGAGCACCGCTTCCACAATCCACAACGCGGGACGGGCCTTAATATACATTCTTCGAGATTCTCAGAGAAACACTGATGGAACACCCTAAAGATGCCTTGGTTGTCGTTGATTTGCTAGAATGTCCCAGTGGCTCTGCGGCACAGCCTTATGGCCCGCGCCGCTGCCATTCACGAGAGCACATGTTCCTCGACATGAATAGGACCATGGCTTTTCCCAGCGTGCCGAACTTTTGGCTGCTTCGGTACGACCCACATTGCCGCAATGCGAGGGCATTCGACGCAGGGTGGTAGACTGAGAGAGAGGCCGTTGGAGCAAGATGTGGCTGCACGGCGCATGCGCGGGAGCCACACTTCCCATCCTCCCTTGCCTTATCCTTCACCTCTGCAATTAGAAGAAAAAGTTCCGGATCTTTCGTCCTGGTTGGTGGCTTTACGAGAGCGACACGTGGGGGCCGTTTCCACAATGCCTCTCATTCGCTCGGACATCGCCAAGTCTTCACTTTTCCCATGAGAACCACCCCAAGAATGACGCGCAGCGAATAACAAGACAGTCGGCGCCACATCCGGAAAGTACCAAAGGGGAAAGAGAGTAGAGGGTATCAAGCTTAAGATTAGCAAAACGTACAGCCGTACAGCAAATTTGCCCGTCCCGTGGGTTGGATCTGCAAAGAAAAGAGAAGGAGAGACACAAAAAACCCCTGCCATGTCGGGCCGGACTTACGCCTCTTCGTTTTCGTGGGCTGATGTCGAGCGAATGAGAGAATTCCAACGTCAGCTTCGCATCAGCTCCCAATACTACTTGGGTTGCTTCAACGGATGAGAGGGTGGGTTCCAAACAAAGGAGAAAGAACATTTCTCGCCCGGCAAGCCCATTCACTCATACTTTCCAGCGCAACGTTGAACGAGGCAGGGGGAAAGCGCCCAATCCGATCGCGTAACCGGACACGGCGTGAGCACTATATAGGCAGAATGCAAGGAACGGCGCGTAGCGCGAAAGCGGGAATAAGAAGGGGAGACGATGGCGAAGGGGCTTGCTAGAGGCTGAGCATCGTTTCCCGGCTCTCCGTACGTACGGGCTGACAACTGCGTTTCTGATAGGCACGATTATGCGGATTGCCGACTACAGAAGTTCAGACCGACGAGAGGTGACGAGTGCGTGTGTCTTTCGAATCTTCGTTGCAGACGACCAACTTCGCCTTGCGTAACGGTTCTTGCAGGATGCAGATGCAGTTCGTCGCCATCATCGTCCGGGAAACCTGTGCTTCGGGGAGCGTATGGGATGCGATCAACGCTGTGGCGGGCGGGAACTCGTCTATTTTGTCTTCATCGAGCGTGCCTCCCTGTGAGTTGATTCTCTGCTGAGCACCCACGGCTCAATTTACATGAATCTCGTATTCATGCCCTCAACTCGCCTGTTGCGACATCCCAAACGTTGACACGCGCGCGCCACGTGGTGACTCCGTGATGCTCGGTGATGTGGGTTACACATGTTGTCAAACCGCGTGCGAGCCTCGTGGGCCTCTCTGTCCTACATTCCTGATTAAGAGCTTGACGGAACGGGCCATCAGTGGAAACTTGCATCGTCGGCCTCGGAGACCGGGGCAGAGGGAAATGAGACTCAATTCTGTCCTATGAAAGAATGACCAGCCGTCATTATTCCCTCCATCCTGCAACATACGAACCCGGGAGCCCGAAGCTGAGGGAAGTAAGCACTATATATCATAAATCAAATTCGAATTCGCAAGCGCGCCCACGAGGTAGGAGTGGCGATAGCGCAGGAGCATTGTCGTCGTCGCTACCTCGGTTCAACACGCAGTCCCGGCGATGGCGTAGCAGCACTTTCGCGGTCGAGTGGCGAATATCTCGAACGACGGCGTATCTAAACACGTATGGGGTATCATCAAAATGCAAAAACAACGTAAACAGAAAATCTCCTCCATCACCGACTTGGAGTGTTTGTTTCCAAACCCTCCAAATTTCTCCTCCTTCTCTTACTCCCTTTTTTTGTTTCCCATGAGACGGACCATAATGCAATAGCGCAGCAGCATTGTTGCCAGTCATCGTCTCCAGTCCCGTACGCCATTTCCCAGCGATGGCGTAGAAGCACTGTCGCCGTCGAGGAATCCAGCCTCATTTCCGCCGCTCTTCGCCTGTAGCGCGGTGAACCAAGGCCATTCCCCGGATGAAAAGCATATATAAACTTCGCATGGGCGTTGTATCGTAAATTGTCGAATGTGAAAGACGTATTAAAACGAGATGCCTGTAATTGGCGCAAGAAGATAATAGCAGGTTGAGCTGCCTCAGAACGGGGCGTCGAGTAAATTGTCATTGAGAGCCGCGAGTGGTTGTTGAAGCTTCCGGAACAGAGTATGTTTCCGATGGTTGTCGGCTCTCTGCCCCAAGATAGGGAACCATTCAGGCTTCCCGGTTTTGGTTGGAACGAGGGAACAACTTTCCAAAGCCTCGTTGCCGGGCCTCGCGTCTCGCGGCACCGTCTTCAATCTCACTAGAGGAGTCGAGGCTCGAAATCTTGTTCACGGGCTTGTTTCCGAAGACCTTGAGCAGGAAGAACATGGCGAAGCTGCTGGCGATACTCAGGCAGAGAATGCCGATCATTGCGTAGTTGCTGCGACGGTACTGATAACGACCCTTGGCGGCGTCCTCTGGCCATCCGGTGTACAGAGCGTAGGTCGTGACAATGCTTCCAAGGTTGCCAAGGCCGGACACCAGAGCAGTCGCAGCCGCAACACCGACTTCACCGTGGCGGCGCTGGAAGATCTCGTTCGTCCATGTCATGCAATTGGGAACAGTCGGGCCAAGACCGAATCCAACCATCAGAAGACCCCCGTAGCGAGCCCAACCATTATCGAGAGCAAAAGTTACGACAAGCAGGCCGGCGATCTGAAGGCAAACCGCAGCTGAGAAGATAAATGGTCGGTAGCCGTGGAATCGATCTGAAATTGGCATCAGTATGAGAATCGCAATCAAGTCCATCTGTATCTTGTTAATGAGTGCCCATGCAAAACAATACAAAGAACTTACGATCCAGATCGGAGCAAAAAGCAAGCTGACTTGGATACTCGTTGCCGTGGGCACAATAGAGCGGATGATGACAGATCCATAAAGCTGCGTACCGATTCCAACGCCAACGACGCCAAAGTACATGAAAGTCAAAGGCCACAGGCGCCAATCGATTAGCACCTGCAGAAGATCCTTCATAGTCCAGGGCCTGGGGTGATAGACCCGTCGGAGGTCATTGTAGTGAATGACGGCATCCTGGCCGGAAAGCGCTTCTGGGGTTGCCGGAAGCCACTTCAACCAGCTTGAGCGCTGACGCTTCTGCCCAGGAGGAAGAGGGCGATCGGGAAGCCACCAAAGCAGGCAAAAGCCAAGAACCACGGCCACCAGGCCGTAGATGAGGAACATCCAGCGGAAACCAACGAGGCCTCCCAAACCATCCATGAGTTGGAAACCAGCAGACACAAGGCCAACCACAGCAGCAGAGAGCTGGGCAGCAGTGAAGTACATGCCGATTCGCTTACCCGTTCGAGAAGGCGGGTAGAACAAGGTGAGGTAGTACGACATTCCAGGCCACATGCCCGCAATCACAACACCGAGCAAGAATCGTAGAAGCCTGGTTAAAAGGTTAGATTTGACAAGTAATTCGATTTGTTGTCAACATACTTGACACTCCAGGCGCTCTGCACGGCAGCGAAGCAGGTGCCAATGATACCGGTGGCAATGACAATGCGAGCCATCCAGATGCGAGGGCTCAGCTTGGCCATCACCAGATTGGAGGGGCAGTCGAAGATGACATAGGCCACGTAGAAAAGAGCTAAGGCGGTTGATGTGTCTTTAGCTGTAAGGCCGAGGACGGACATCAAGTCATGACCCTGAGCGGCATTCATTGTTTGCGCGATTCCAATATTGGACCTGATGGCAGAGCAAAGGAAGTAGAGCGTCCAGAATGCTATCAACCGTTAATCCCATAGTGTCACTGGCGAGAAAGATGGGATGGTTACCTGGAATGATTCGAAGGTCGAGCTTCCTAGATGCCTGTCAGCTTCATCGTCTGACGCAAGTCATGGCTAATGAGGGTTTGCATGCGTACCTGTAAACCCTCTCGACTGTTTCGACATCGTATTCTTCCGGCTCCTGATGAGATGGGCCGGCCGTAGGCTCCATAGTTGACGAGCCAGCTGGCGTACTGTACTCGTTGGGCTGTTTGTCATCGGCGCCATGCGCCTCCTCGTGTATGTGAGCCATACTTGACTACGAAGCAATGGGAGTGCCTGCTACGAGTCTTTTTCTGGTCACTCTCACGGGCAGATGATAAAAAGGCAATTGGTGATCTCGGCGCTTGATTATTGGCTTGGGTCTTTGGAACCACGACCAATTTTGCAGAATTGAGCAGGGAGCTTCGCGATGGTGATCGAGGGTGGTGAAGTTTTCGCCGTCTTGGGCGAGCGGATATCAAAGGCATATTTAAGGCGTCACTTGCCGATGGGCTGGGAAGGTTGGAGGGGCACATCGGAGCTGATAGTGGATACCTCTGAGCAAGCAGCTAGGGCCATCATCTTCAGGTGGTTCTGGCTTAGCTGCACTAGCAGATCTGGGCGGCCAGTCTCCCGAGGGACCAAAGGGAGGAGGAATTCGCTCTCAAAGACCTCCTTCTCACTCTTCTCTGATGGGCCGTTCTCGCCCAACAGAACTGGCGCCCCACTCCGGGTGGCAGGATCAGTGTGCAGTTTGCGGTGCGATTGTCGGTGGCCCGCAGCGCAGCCCACATTGCCGAGCCTCAGCGACTCCGGACTCGGTCACTAAACTGAGTTCAATCGAAGCGCCGTGACACCGGCCTCGAGTTGGGCCACAATGACATGAATCGATGGGAACAGTTCAGACCAATAGTGGTAAAGTTGCAGATGACTAGGTCTAGCATACGACAGAAGATGGCGGGAAGAGAGCGATTTAGATAAAGTCAAAGCGTCGATTAAACTGTCAAAGTCTTGAGGTGGTTTTAGGTTAGGAAGAAAAAAGCACACCGTATTTCATGGCTTTCAAGTGTTCGTACGTATGACTAGCCATGAGTCTAGAAAGAGTCCTCGGACAAGTTGCTACTGCAATAATTGGTGGCTGAATGCGCGGATAGTATTCTTACCTAGTACCCAGATGGTGGTGGTGGTGGTGGTGGTGGTGGTGACCAAACGCACAGAAAATGGATGGTGGGGTTAATTTCAAGTGGTCGAGCGTCGCTTCAACCTCAGAACTCCAGCTTCACTTCGACATACAGAAACACTGGGTTATCTATCGCAAGCTTCGTTGTCAGTCCTCGATCTCCTCCGTAATTATCTTGGAATTTGAGACCTTCATCCATTGCTATTGGATGCTTGGCGGACAATGCCCTGGGCCGTCATAGCCTTAAGGCATCAAAAAGGTTTTGGCCTTAGCCTTTAGGAGTTGAGGGCAGATGCTCATCTCCTTCCCCCTTCTCCTCATCACAACCCCACTTCCTCCAGTCCCATCTCAATAACCACGTCAACTTGCTCTCCTCTTCATACGCGATGCTGAATCTATCGCAGTCTGCAATTCGTCAAGATCACACGTATTTACAGGCACTGGCCTGCCTGAGAACTCTCGCTCCTTATCTGCACGCTTCTCTTTGCGATATCACTGCCTGACTGGGTGCCTATCTACAACACCTCGCCTTGCCTGATCGCCAGTCCGCCAACAACGTTGTCATACCTACACGCGACTACCTCAAGCCAGCTTCTCTAGCTCACAAACTCAATTCGTTGGCTGCTTGCTTCACCGAAATGGTTATTGATCCACCTCGACGGAGTCCAGATCTATCTGTGAGCGGGGTAGTTCCCATCCTCCTCATGTCGTGGTAGTCGTTGCACCACGCCTGGCGATCCTGAACCGAGTCATCGGTGAACGTGACGAATAGGCTTCCAGAGGAACAGGCACTCGGCTTTCTTGGCTAGGGCCAAAACTTCGCATGAACAGAAGCTCTCCGCGGCCTAGGCGTGTGGTACGCGGACTATTCAAGCAGCAGCGTCCCCAATGTTATAGGATGACGACTGTACTCCAAAAGAGGGAGGTGGTGTGGGCGATGACAACGATTCACGCGTTCGCGCCAGGCCCAGACGCGCGAGTGCGAAGATGGGTATCATGTACGCCGGGTCTACCAATAGGCAAGCTCACGATATTGCCCAATGATCAAGTAACAACGGTCTTGTTGTGTACTCATTCACACTGACGTTTCTCACGCGGATATCTTGCCCACTAGCACGATGCCTGCTCACGAATATCAACAGCCGCCTACTCACGTTGAGCATCTCTCAAGAGGTAGTGTACGGTGAGAGCTGATGGCATCATTGAGCCTATTCACCATCTCCTCGGATCACACATTTGTCCATCGTCATAACCAACCAGTGTTGGAACCTTGACGCTGACCTGCTGAACGGCCTCATTGAGGCTGTGTGTGAATATCTACTTCTATACCTGTACCATATTAACTCTAGTGCGGCTCAGCTTCGCTAAGTGTTACCAATCGCCGTCGAGGTATCGTGGATCTGGGGCTGTAAGCTCTTCTGGGACAATCCTCCGTAAGCAACAGGTGAGTCCTTGATCCCATCTCGAGCTAAACACTTCCGAAATACTCAAGTACCTGAAAGAGCTTTAGGTGATGATCACGAGACAGCTGAATTCTCAAAATGCGCAGACCCCTGCGCCGGCAGCCTTGGAGGCCAACCTAATGCGTCGGCTGTGACTCACCTTGGTAGGCATCTCGACGACGGCTTTGATACCATCGCCAACCAGATGGAGTCACAGGCTTTGCCGCCTAGACCTGGCAAACATATAATGTTCTAGGTATCTCTCCAGGTATGATTCTATGAAAACCCATCCAAGCTGAAGTACCATCAAGATTGTATCAGAGAAGCTAAAGACATATATCCTCAAAAGCTGGTGGGTTCCCTCATTGCTATCTGTGCAAGCATCCAGCTTCTGCCTTCAGCGCCACATCATCCAACAAACGAGGAGTGGATACCGTGGCTGGTGGCGAAATCGACCGGGATCACGTGGATCACGGCTGAGTAATCCAAATCCATGCCCATGTGGCTGACGCAGCTTGCTACCAGCTTCCACGTCGTCAGCCAGATTTTTCAGGCAGACTGACTTTTCTGCCTTTCGCAGCATCGGAGCTCATCACCTGCAAGCTTGACGAAGCGACGCGTTATCAAGTAACCGCAGTCGCAGTAACCCTCACTGCGGCGATCCCTTTATCTTTCTTGTCGAATCTTTATTTGTCGTTTCCCCTGCGATTTCCAGCAAACGACCCGGGAGTCGCGACTTCTTTCACGATCACGACCTCTTCCGATCATCATTTCTCCCCCATCACAAGCTTCATCCAGCATCCACAGGATAACCGTCAAAATGAGCGTCGTCTACGAACCCCGTAATTTCATGCACGATGGCTCGTATCCTCCCATCGGCGATCACGATCACGACCATGTCCTCGATCAGACTGGGCAATACCAGGCGTCCGACGTCCCGGACCTCGCCTCCTACAATCCGACGTCCTCGATGCTCGGCGACGACCGGTCTCTAATGCCGGACGGTCTTGACGATGCCTCCGTTGGCGTCCCAGATGCGACGCGACTCGATCTTTCAGCGCCTCCCACTCTTGCGTCCCTTCCTTCGAGTCTTCCTCCGGCGCTTCCCGAGCCCCTGCCATCAAACAACAAGGACGAGGGCGAGGCCTCGACTCCTACATCGAGGGTTAAGTGCATAGCAAAGCCTGAACGCGAGGTGACGAAACAGCCTGATGGAAAGTTCTACTGTACTTTCCCGGGATGCACGGAAGAGACTCAAATTTTCACCCGGAAATGCGAATGGAGGTTAGTCAACCAAACGTTGAAGCTTTTGACACTTTGTAATGATGCTGACCACTTTCTTCTCGCAGCAAACACATGGACAAACACGAGCGACCTTACCGATGCGCTGCTGAGGGTTGCGAAAAGCTTCCCGGCTTCACATACTCCGGCGGCCTCCTCCGTCACGAGCGCGAAGTTCACGGCAAGCACGGCGGTCCAAAGAACACGGTCAACTGTCCCCATCCGAACTGCAAGCGTCATACTGGCAAGGGCTTCTCACGGCAAGAGAACCTTAATGAGCATCTACGACGAGTACACACGAGCGACGGTTCCAGCACGGTCCAAGAAGACATCCAAACCGGTAGTGACGGTGACAGTGACAAGGCTATTGGATTCGGCGCAGGCAATAAGCGAAAGCGCTCCCGGAAGGGATCTGACGCTGGCCTGGACGAGCTGCGCGAGGAGATCAAGCGCGTACGCATGGAGAATGAAGAGTTGCGCCAGCAACTCGACAGACAGGGCCAGCACAGCTTCGCCATGATGTCGCAGATTGCAGAGCTCCAGGATGCGCTGCGGACGAACCTCGATCCGTCCGGACTCGGCGCTCCCACCGCCACGATGTTGTGACAATCAGACGCAACGCCTGCGCCTCTTCCCGAAAGCGACAGCTTCCTACCGAACTTCCCGTTACGGCGTTACGACCACACCACCACACCCTAAGTTAACACCCGGCGGCCACAACTCATACTCCAGGCTTCCACATTGAACCCCCGCGTCCTCGACTCGACACCTCCCCGCACACACCAACCATCACACCACGTACACACTCTTACGACACACGCATCGACGAGGCGTTCTAGGCAGAAAACTGCTTTTTTATGATCCATACAATTCCGTTTTGTCTCCTTTGGCCGTGATCACACGACGCCGTGTATAGTTTTAACGGCATGGGTAATTCAACAGAAAGGGGGAAACAGGCGTTCTACGGGATAATCGACACTCGACTTTTTTTCTTTTCCACGGCTTTCTACGGTGGCGAAGAAAGCCCAAGGACGATGACGACTACTTTTTGATATCCCCCCTCCCCTTCGCTACGCAGAGCGTTATGCAGAGGAAAACCAGAAAGATGGAACAAAAAAAGGAAGAGAAATACCACATGTTTTTCCGGAGTTTATTTTCCACCCTCTTCTTTTTTTGACGGCAAATGGTAGATTGTACATTTCCCCTCTCCTCCTCAACTCAACGCCTCCCCCTTTCGCTTCTCAGGTTCTCCTCAGCACCGAAAATAACTTTTGTAATTCTACTACCTTGTATCGCGAACGATTATTCATTTTTAAGTGTGTAGTACCATAGACACGGGATGACCTTTGATGATAATATGGCATCCATTAACCCCATAAATCAAGATGAAACTTCTCTTCTCCTCTTCAATGACAACTTGATCCGTCTCTTTGCAAAATATTGTAATACATTAGAGTTACCACAGACTATTTGGGACGTGGATGGTGATGACGTAAGTTTGGGTGCTTTACGCGTGAGGCCGGAAAAAAGGAAGCTGCACATGTTTTTACCATGCGAAGAAAGAAATGGCTAGGAACGCGTTGTCACATGTGGCTTTTGCCTGAGGCAAACCACCAAGGTAGGCAGGGGTGTGGTTGCAGGATGCACGAGTGACGATCATTGCCAGCTCGAAGTCCATGTAAAACTCCGCGACTCGTCTGGGCACTCGTGGTAGTGTACTCAGAGGTAATGGAAATCAACAGATGTTCTGTGCACAAAGAGGGCGTAGGAGCAATCTCAAAGGACACTTCTACACGAGGAAAAGGGGTAGATGAAGGCAAGACGAGAGTGGGCTGCATTTCCAGGCACTCAATCATGTTTAGCAACATGATGAAAATCCATTTCAATGACGGTCATTGAAATACACTTTGTTTGGATATCAGTTCTCGTCTACCTATACTCTTACATATCCCCGGGCTCAAAAGGCCCTCGTATCTATGGAAAGAGAAGAGCCGTCAAATCTTACTTAACCCGTGACTTGAATCCAAGGTATTCTAACGCTTTCTTGTCGAGAGTACTTCCTCCCAAGCGTGTGAAGCTGCAGGAAAAGGCACTCCATGATAAGGCGTCAAAGGACATTGAAGTCTACAAAAATCAGAGATTCTCGGCATCTTAAGCAGAAGCTGGCAGTAGACTCTGCCCCGGGAAAGAGAGAAAAGGAACATCTAGACATGAAATCTAGACCTCAAACACATCACCCACGCCCTCGGATCCGCCCCGCCGGTTCTCGACAAGGTCCAACCTCCACCCCTCCCAGTTCTTGAGCGTGCGCTTGATCTCTTTGATGCGCTCGATACGCTTCTTCGCGTCGTCCTCTTGCGCGCGGCGGAACGCGTCCTCGTCAAAGTCCATATCGTCGTCGTCGAGGAGCAGCTCGTCATCTCCCGTCCCGGTGAGCGCATTGATTCCACTTTGGAAAAAGTCTCCGATGCCACCGCCGGCTGCTTGCTTCCTCTGCGCTGATGGCGACGTGCCGCGGCTCCCGCCAAGGTCCACGTTCTCGAAGCTGGGGCTATTGAGCTCCCGGCGCTTCTCCTGCCAATGCCCGTGGCGAAGCTCGTATACCTCGGCTTCGAGGTCGCGTACCTTCTTCTCGAGACGCAGGCGCTCCTCGTTCTCGAGCTCATCGACACCGTCGTCATCCAGGCCGCCACCGCCCTCAGTGGACTTACGGCTCCGTAACCTCGTGTTCTCGCTCTCGAGGCTCTCAACCCGCGCCTTGAGTTCGCTGACCTCCTTCTCGGCGCGCTCCTTTTCCTTCCGCAACGTCTGGGTGCGCGTGTCTTGCTCCTTGTGAAGTGTGGTCAGCGTCGTAACCTTCTTTTCCAGGCCGTCGGCCTTCTTCTCGGCCTCCAGCCTGGCATCGATCGAGTCGGCGAGGTCGTGCTCCAAGCTGCGGAGCTTCGTCTCTGCGCTCGTGCGTTCGCTACCCTCACGGACAGCCTTTTCCGCCGTACGGTCGAGGTTCTTCCGCAAGTCAGTCAGTTCTTGCTGTGCCTTAGTGGCGGCCTTTTCAGATCGCGCGAGCTTCTCTTCCAGAGCCGCAATCTGCTCCTTCTCGGAGGACGTGCCGCTAGTCTGACGATCCACTTGTGCGCGGAGCTTTGATATTTCAATCTCCATCGACTCGATAGTGGCGGTTTTGGAGGCAAGCTGAGCCTCGAGCTCGGCTGGGGGAGAAGACATCGATACCGATGGCGAGGATCCGTGGCGGCCACCTGCACGGGAAGCTTGTTGCTGGAGCTGAGAGTTCTGGCGCTGAAGGGCCTCGATCTCGGATTTCTGTTTGGCATTTTATTAGCAAACTTTTAAGGGCGCATGGTCGTATAATATGATGCTTACCAGGTTTTCGACTTGGCTGTCTGGACCGCCCTTGCTCTCGCCCTCAGTCTCACGCAGATCAGCCAGCTCCTCCTCGGCCTTCTTCCACCTCCTCTCCGCATCGGTGGAGTCCTTGGCTAGACGCTTATTCTCTCTCTCAAGCTCCTCTATCCGAGCGTGCTGCTTTCGATAGATATCGGTGGCGGTCTCGCCTTCAGGAGCCTCGGCGCTGGGCGAAAGAGGACCATTGCCGGCGGAGACGGACCCTTGTCGGAAGGACGCAGAACGGAGCTTGGACTGCTGAGCTAGCGAAGGTTGAGATGCAGTTGGCGATGCTGGTTGCTCCGCGATAGCTTCCGTAGCTTCCTTCTCGTCCTCTTTTGTGTCTTCGGTGGCAGGATCGGCGGGTGTCGTGGGTTCGGCTTCGGGGTCCTTGTCCTTCGAGACGCTGGGTTCTGCCGCTGTTGGCTCGGCCTTTTCCTTCTTGGATGAGCCAGCGGCCTTCTTTGTCTTCTTCTTTTTCAATTCTTCCACCTAGCAAGCTGTGAGTATTAGACCGATGGTGATCGCACCGCAAGTAAACCTACTCGCTTTCTGGCGGCGGCGAGCTTTTCGGCCTTGGCCTTCTCTTCAGCGTCGGCCATTATGCGGGCAACAGTACTTGGGTTTGTTGCGAATCGAAATCAAGTGAGTTCTAGGTGCTGTTGCCGAACGTTGTCACAAAGAGGTTGTCGTGAATGCGGAATGTAAAGTTGGATATTTGATGCGGTTTGAGCGCTTCAGCCTCGAGCCCAGGAGCTTAGCTGTCCACTCGTGTCAAGAACAAGCCACATTCCACCTGCACTCATCCGTAGTGTTTGTGGTTGACAGGGCCCCCCCCCCCCCAATGACGAAGGCAGGCGCAATAGCTATGCGTGGAGTGTGCTAAACATACAGGGGCCACCCCTCCTGTTTCGATGAACTCCCTTCTTGCCGTTTAGACAAAATCGAACAATACTCCAACCTCCAACAACCGATTATTTCCTCTGTGATAAGATTTACATCCTCCCAGAAACCATCTCCCTCCTTCATTAGATATAGTATTTTCTCTCTGTAACGCTGGTCTATCGAGATTCAGAACCATTCAAGATATTGCACCTGTTCTGCTCTCAGCATCTATCGATCTCACTAACACCGTCTCGCCACTGGTGGTCATCAAGATGCAATAATCGCCCAAACCCAAACATCATGCCGTTCATGCCGTTCTTATGAAAGCTATCGAATGAAGAGATGCATACATCGCAACAACAAATAGCAAAAAATCAACATGTTCCCAAGCGGGCCTCCTGCCGTCTGACCGACGCGACGAACACCCTCCATCCCCCTGCACATCCTTTGGCCCACCCAGCCGTCGTCTTTCAATGCGTTGGCGCCTTACATCGCCTTCTCAGTGTCCCAATCGCTCAAACCTTTGCCCTTGGGCACCGCCTGATTGGCAAGCTCTTCCTCGTTTCAACTGCGCTGATATCCAGTTGGCACCGGACCAGCGTCTGAAATGGATGCAAGTTGCATCTTGGCCCCCAGTGAAGGACCCTGTCTACCTGCCAGCGCGGGAACGCATCGAGCCAGGGGGCAGGGGGCTAAAGGGGGGTGGGCGTCTCGTTCGTTAGTTCCTTGAAAGACGTCCGCCCTGCTCTACAAGGGACGACTTGGCTAATTCAAGATGATTGGAGGTGCCGCGGCAACAAACGACCCAAGCACAATTATGCAGCTCGAACATTAAAGCATGTTGAGAGCTGACATGTTCTGGAAAACATGTCCTGCTCAACTCTCGTCCATCCTCTCAGCTTTTGCTGGAGGAATGGAACAGAGGAGCGACGGCGAGGAGCCATGGGGCAGTGTGTATCGAGCAGCAATGCTGGCGCAGGCACCAGCGATGCCGAAAGGCCTGACGCTCGCTGTCAAACTCCCGGCTGCCAGAGAGTCTGCGATCCAGGGTCCAAATCACGATACTGCACTCAGCATGCCGTCTGTAGACGGCAGGGATGCGTGAGGCCTCGATACCGCAAGGGCCCATATTGTCAGGAACACATGTGTAAGTGTTCCACTAGGCCGCTTCGGCCTTTCGACAACGTACGACTTCTCTCTGACTCCAGGACCAGATACGTGTCGAGTCTCCAGATGTCCCAATAATCAAGCCAAACTTCACGATGCGCGATTTACCAATCATTTATGCTGGGACCACCAACCCCCCGAAGTCCAAGATGCGTACCTGCTCGGATACCTGTTTGGCGGGGAGGATATCCACGCGGCCAACGCAAACGAGCCTCAGCAACAACAGCAACAACGCAGCAGGCGCAGGCGTTCTCGCCAGAAGCCAAAGTCCGCACCGGCCACAACGCAACCTACAATCCTAGCCGAGCCTCGAAACCAGGCATCCGAAGACCCCTCGCCAAGTTCAGACGACGACGATGTTATAGTCGCAGCTCATCAGCTGTCCACCATAGGCGAGGAACCGGAAAGAGAAGACGCCATGCGCTCAACGCAGATATCTCGACAGGAGAAGCCTGGAACAGCGTCAGGAACAGCGCCGGGAACACCGACGGCTCGTCGGAGTCAGAAGACGGTTCACTTCGCAGATCCTGTCCCTCGAGCCTCCGTAGCCGCTGAAAAACCATCCGTCGAGACGACGGCGGATACCCGGGTTGCGGAACCCCTCTCCTCGTCCGCGGCAGCCCGTCTTCGAACCTCCCACCACCGGCGAAGCCTGGATGGACGGTCCGGATATCGGTCTTCGCCAAAGACGTCTGGCAGTGTCGCCGCTCCGGCTACGAATAACCGTGAGAGGCGTCATAGTACCGGCAGTGCCCCAAAGTCTGTCGACGTCAAGCGGACAACGAGAACGAGGGCCAACCGCTGAGGCCTATCCTCTGGAGACGCACAGGACGGAGGCACAGAGGGTCCCTTGTAATGCTGCACGAACCAAGCTTCGACATTGCGTCACAGCAAAGTCCCATGACACATCTCTCCCACCAGATGCCCCCTCGTTTCTTTATCGTCAACAGTCATACGAGCCCGCTTTCCTATCACATCTCTTCAGAAATAGCCCCGGTAATCTCTTGGGTGGGGGTCTCATCTGAATGCAGGCGGAAGATAGGTAATGGTGCTAAAGATACAGCGTAATTATCTCTCAACGGGCGGTAGAAGAGTTCCACCTCTGAGCGTCGGGCACGGCATTTGGCGGGGTAATGGCGGGGTACGGGTGCGAACAGGGTGCTGCAAACTACCTCACGCCGAACCATTACCACCACCACTACCGCCGCAAGCCCACAAGCCCGCGCCAAACCGCCCGCCTACCCGACTAGCCAAAGCCTCGCCGTCTCTCTTCCTTCCCGTCCCTCCTTCTTTACCTTACTTGCTGATCTTCTACCCAATTCCGTCGCAACTCTCTACTTTATTCAATTCCCTCTCTCGGCATAAGATCGTCTCCGTCTCAAATTTCCAGATCAGCGACAAGATTTCATTCCCGACCGGCGCAATACACACGCCCACCCACCCGACAAAACACAAGCCATCGCCAACAATGGCCTCCCTCCCCTCACAACATCCGTCGCTGGCCCTCCACCTAACAGACCGCGCCCTCAACCCGATCTTGACCTCGGCGCACTCCCAATCCCAACTCGAGGCACTCACTTCCCTGACGACGACCTCTCTGACCGCTCATGCCGCCGCGAACCGCTTCTCCCTCGGCCCCGCCCAGCGCATCATTGTCGAGCACGGCCCGGGCAGTCCCGTCGTCCTAGCCTCCTTCCTCAACGGCGCCGATGCCCTGCCGAACTCGGGCGGAGAGAGCTCCGTCCCCTCAGCGTCAAAGTCCTCGTCGAGACCCGTATCCTCGGGTGTCGCCGGCGCTGCCCCGATAACAGAGCCATCTTCCGCAGCGGGGGCGTCAGCGAGAGCGATACCTGAGACGGGCAAGCGAGGCGAAGAGCCAGAGAACGCGGCGCCGATGCTGGTCGGCGTGGTGGTCGCGGCGACGGGTGAGGAGGCCATGGAAGCGCGCCGCGCCGCGGGCAGACTCGAGAGGGTGGGCAGGGAGTTCCAACGAGAATGGGTCGCCGAAGAAGGAACGGGCGACGCAGATGGTCTCGGTCGTTGAACACACATATACACACACACATTCACATATCAATAGGACGATGGAGGAGAGTATGGTCAGATCGTAAAAAAATGGGGCAAAGGATGTCCCTGGTGGAAGGTCAACGATGCCCAGAGGAAAGCGATAGCGATGTCGTGGCCTGGGAAGTTCGAGTCGGGGCAGGGCATATATGGTCCTTTCATGAGGATTACGAGCAACGAGATCACGGTCACATGGGGGACCCGATACGGAAACCAAACCAGGCTACGGTATGGGGTGGGTTAGGCGTACAGGACTGCGCGAGTTCGCGTTAATCATAATCTTTGGATTTTTGACGGTCTCTCTATATACCGAGTTCATTTTCCCCGTGAAACGTCCGTCATTGCGTTTAAAAAAAAATAAGAACAATCGCCAATTAACCAATTTCTACCCTAGGTATGACCGCTTTAAATGATCTGCTGGAAAGCACGGTTGAGAGGAGAGCGAACGTTGGGAACGTCCTTCCAGAATTCGACGGTGGCGACCGCGCGCTTGGCGATGCCCTCGGGGGTGAACTCGAACTTCTATAGAGTGGGTTAGAATGACTGACGAACAGTACTTAGATCGAAACGAGAAACTTGCCTTGTAGACGTCCTTGTAAGGACCGGAAGCACCGAAGCGGTTGATACCGAACTGCTCGTGGGAGTATCTCTCCCAGCCGAGGGTGGACATGACCTCGACGGACATGATGGGCTTGCCGTCGGGCAGGACGGACAGCTTGTACTCCTTGGACTGGGAGTCGAAGACCTCCGTGCAGGGCATGGAGACAACGCGGGCAGCGATGTTGTGCTTCTCCTTGAGGTACTTAACGGCGTCAACGCAGATGCAGACCTCGGAACCGGTGGAGACGAGGGTGATGTCGGCGTTGGGGTCCTCGTGCAAGACGTATCCACCCTTGATACCCTTCTCGATGACGGAGCCCTCGAGTTGGGGCAGGTTCTGGCGAGAGAGAGCGATGATGGAGGGGGTGTGCTTGGAGGTCAAAGAGACGTAGTAAGCGGCGGAGGTCTCGTTACCGTCGGCCGGGCGCCAGACCATGTTGTTGGGCAGAGCGCGGAAGTGGGCGAGGGTCTCGATAGGCTGGTGAGTGGGGCCGTCCTCACCAAGACCGATAGAGTCGTGGGTGGCAACCCAGATGGCGCGGATCTGGGACAGGGCGGACAGACGGACGGATCCGGCGGCGTAGGAGACGAAGTTGAGGAAGGTACCTCCGTAGGGGATGATGGTACCGTAGGCAGCGAGACCGTTCATGATGGCACCCATGCCGTGCTCACGGACACCGTAGCGGATGTAGCGACCGGCGTAGTCACCGAGGCCAGTGGCGGGAGCCTGGAAGTCGACAGCCTCCTTCCAGCGGGTAAGGTTGGAGCCGGTCAAATCGGCGGAACCACCGACAAGCTCGGGAACAATCTGGTGGATCTTCTGGAGGACGGTCTCGGACAGCTTGCGAGAGGCAATGGCGGGATCGGCGGGAGTGTAGACGGGCAGAGACTTCTCCCAGCCCTCGGGGAGGTCACCCTTGAGGCGACGGCTGAGGTCCTTGGCCTCGTTGGGGTACTTCTCACCGTACTTGGCGAAAAGCTTGTTCCACTCCTCCTCGGCAGCGGCGCCCTCGGCGGCGTGCTTGTTGTAGAGGTCGTAGACCTCCTGGGGAACAGCGAAGGACTGCTCGGGGCTGAAGCCGAACTTCTCCTTGAGCTGCTTGATGTCGTCGGCCTTGAGGGGAGAGCCGTGGACACCGTGGGTGCCCTGCTGAAGGGAGCCGAAACCGATGGTGGTTCTCAGCTTGATGAGAGTGGGCTTGTCCTTGGACTGCTGGGCCTTGGCAATGGCCTTCTCGATGCTGTCGAGGTCGTTGTCACCGTCATCGACGATGAGGACCTCCCAGCCGAATGACTCGTATCTCTTGACGACATCCTCAGTGAAGGCGACGTTGGTGTCACCGTCAATGGAGATGTGGTTGTCGTCGTAGATGGCAATGAGGTTGCCGAGCTGGAGGTGACCAGCCAGGGAAGAGGCCTCACCAGAGACACCCTCCATCAAGCAACCATCACCAAGGAAGGTGTAGGTGTAGTTGTCGGACAGGCTGAAGCCGTCCTTGTTGTAGACAGCGGCGGTGTGAGCCTGGGCAATGGCCAGACCAACAGCGTTGGAGATACCCTGACCGAGAGGACCAGTGGTGACCTCAATGCCGGGGGTGTCGTGAGCCTCGGGGTGACCGGGGGTGATGCTGTCGACCGTCTGTAGAGCCTGTCAGGAAATGGCTCATTCTCTCACTTGTTGAGTCATTGTCAAACTTACGCGGAACTTCTTCAGGTCGTCGATGGAGACGCCGTAGCCGAAGAGGTGGAGGAGAGCATACTGAAGCATGCAGCCG